ATAAGTCGGGTTTTCTTTCCTGACGTATAACTCCAGAACGCAAACCGATTTCGACAATTTTGCATTCGTTGGAAAGGTCGTGCATGGCATCATGCCTTAATGCAAGCTGCTGGAACTTCACACACCGTAATTAAAAATTCGAGTAATGACATTAGTGAAAATTATCAGAATTATGCTTGGTTAAGTCAACGTGCGTGTAATGATGTACACGCACTGAATTTCACCATTCAATCAAAAATTGCTGGCGATTTGGTGACATACCAATGATTCCGACTGGTCTTCCGTTTGACTTCAAACGATTGCAATTTCCAGTTCGCCTTGCGTTCGCAATAAAAAGTCGCAAGGCCAATCGCTTAGTGTTTGCGGGATAAATTTCAAATAGATTATTTAGAAAATCATTGTTTTTCACATGGGCAGTTATACGTTGCCAGTTCACGAGTTGGCAAACCATCCGTTTTGTTTGTGTTAACGTCAGACCAAAAAACAAAAAATGTGGTTTACCAAAGAGCACTTCAATGAAACGGATAATTTGCGGATTCACTTTTATTTACTTAGAGAAGTTCAACTAAAAAACACTTTATTTTTGTAATCGAAATAAATTCATTACTGTTGTATAATAAAATCACATTTTTCCTTTTCAAATATAAAACAAACAAAAAATTTCTTCATCTTTCTCATGAAACCATCTGGTGGCGAAACTGAGTTCAGCGGGTTTGCTAGTTATTTATAAAATTATTTGTCAGAGTAGATATGAAACCATATTAATATTAAAATCTTGGCATAAGGGCATTTTGCCTTAAAACTTGAACTTTCCAAAATGTTCAATTAATCGACTTAATGAATAAGACTTGAGCTTTAGCTACTCTTCAAATCGTTTTCATTATTCTAAATTTTAATGCTTTAATTAAACCAGTTTTTGTAGGTGCAGTGTGGACGCCACCACCAATGCAGACAAATAATTTTTTTTTATGTTAATATGTGCAGTTTATGTTGTGATTATTGTGTGATATTGCTGTTATTGATAAATTTTGTAAATTTGATCACTTTAAATAATTTTTCTCTTTCCCGTCACTTTAAATATTAAAACTGACGTTTCACGGAACATGCTCGAACAAAAAAATTCAAGTCCTCACTGCTTTGAGGCATTCGTTGAAGTTCGTTTGAAATAACTTGCCTTCGTTCGTGTTCGTGTTCGTGTTTGTTCTTCTGTGTATTTTCTTGTTCGTCCTGTTCGTTCGTGCTCGTTCGTTAGGTGAGGACGCACCTTTAGCAGCTACAGCAGTACGATTGCTTTGAAAAAAAAAATCAAAATTTTCAAAATAAAGGAAACATTTTTTGGTACGGGAAGTTCCAGCAATTTGCCTTAAGGCACGATGCCATACACAATAAATAATTTATTATTTAGTGTATTTATTCACATCCCTGGAATGTTTACTTATCTATGCCTGGAATGATGTTTTTCTCCGGCATCAGGTAACACTAAAGTTTTTGTAACGCAAAACGTGCGTTTTGACAATTTGACATTTCTCGTTGTTAGAAATAAGTTTTATTTAGTTGATGCTTAAATTTTTTTTAATAAATAGTAGGTGTTCAAATAAATATAAAATGTCTGAATTGGAATTGCAGGAAGAGGAACGCGAAGTTTTGGCTTCTATATATGATGGTGATAATAGTTTTAAACAAGTTTCACCTACCACTTATCAATATAAAGTAAATATACTTATTTTAATCATACGCATATATAATTCTAATATATATCGCATGTTTCAAATTTTAATATACTTTCTGATATATAATATTTATATATCAATATCTAAAATCTATATACAGTAATACCCCGTTTGACGCCGTATCGTTTAGCGCTGTTCGGTTCATCGCTAAATCATTTCATCCCTGGTTTTGAAGGGGTAAATGAGAAAGATGTCGAAGAAATAATTTAAGACTTTCTAATGGCGAGCTCAAGGAAAGAACTGAACAGGAAAAAAACAAAAATGTTGACAGCAGTGATTCAGCGTAAAAGCAAAAAGAATTTTCGTTGGTGTTTGTATAAAGGAGTTTGTCAACCATAACTGAAATAATTGATCAATTCATTGAAAATGATCCGAATTTTGACAGGAGCTCTAAAGTAAGGCGTGGTGTAGAGATGCTTTATCCGTTTATCAAGAGCTTTTAAGAGAAAAGCGCAGAAGAAAAACAACATTAGATGCTTTTGTCACAAAAAGGCGAAACACTGAAAACGCGGAAGACTGACTAAATATGACTGACTTAGAATGTTATTTGTTTTTCCAAGAATATTTTGTTATTTATATTTCGTTTTTATTTTTGCAAGAAATAATAATGTGGTATTAATTTGGACTTTAGGAATAAAATATTTGGTTTTATTTTAAGTAAAAATAACATACTTTTTAAATTTAATACCAAACCAATTTTCTAGCTATCTTCCTTTAACTCCAATATTTCCATGTAAAGATTGCTTTGTTTAACACTGTTTTGCATTGGACTCTACCTTTCTGGAATATCTCTCGCATTCCACGGGGTATTCCTTTATATATATATTTATTTATTTATTTATTTATTTATTTATTCATAAGCAAGCCGTAATCAATAATAATAGATATTATTTCAGGCTCTTGTCAAGCTAATTCATAGTTAATATTAAAAGGATAGTAATTTTATAATAATGATAGTAGCTGCACGAATTTCGATTCTGAAAAAAAGAGCTGAAAAAAAGCATTCGAACATTATATACGATGTTCATCATCAAGTTCATCATATTAAAGTCTATTTGGCCACCAGTCAAGCTCAAAATTCTTGCACAAGGTTGAAAGTTATACTCATTTAAAACCGTAAAAAATTTAAATTAATAAAATAGCAATAAAAAAAAATGAAAAAAAAAATGGTTGTACAGGCGATCAAATGGTCAGACTACATAGATACAGGATAAGGATTATGCAAAAAATAGTTATTGAATTCAAATTGAGAAAATTCAGTAATGTCATAAAAAGCTAAGTCTTTAAAAAGTTTAACTAGGGAAGCATGAAATTTTTTGCTGTCTAAGTTTCGAATATTGAGTGGAAGTTTATTCATAAGCTGAATACCTAGACCGTCGATCGTATTGAAAGAGCTGGCTAATTTATATGTACGCGCCTTAATAAGTTTGTGTCTAGTGTTGTAATTTAAGGACGAAGCCATATCAAAAAGTTTCGAATTGTTTTTGATGAAAGTTAATGTTACCAGCAGAAAAATGCATGGGACAGTTAGAATATTGTATTTTTTAAATATGGGTCTGCAGGAGGCTTTACTGGGCAAGGAAAAAATTATTCGAATAGCTCTTTTCTGAAGCTTAAATATTTTAATTAGTTCGGATGAAAAACCCCAGAATTGAATGCCGTATGAAACGTGAGAATAAAAGTTGCTATAATAAACTGAAAGTAAGCAATTTAAACCAAGTTTGGGTTTAAGGGTGCGCAACATGAAACATGTTCTAGATAAAGTTGGTGATAGAGAGATAGAGATATGATCAGACCACTTTAAATTATTATTAATATGGATACCAAGAAACTTTGATACTTGATACTTTGATACTTTGATATATATATATATATATATATATATATATATATATATATATATATATACATATTGTTGTGCCCCATCCAGCGACGGAGCCAACAAAATGTATGTTCTTCCTGCTGCTAAGCTGGTACCAAACTGTGAAGGCAAATCAGTAAAACAGATGAAGACTTTTGATGTTTATGTTTATTTCATGATTCTTGTACACTTTTCATATAACTTGAACACTGAACTTAAATATAATTCCATTGATTACTTAATATTACTAACTCATATTAACTGAACTTAATAAAGACTGATACGGAGTGAGTGAAAAATGAACTAAGAATGAACAAAGATTTCATCATCCTGCAGCTTTTATATTCCTTATCGGGATGACTCAATTCTTTGGTAGAATGTGTGTTCGAACTTGTTCGGATTCGTTATATGTGAGTCAGAAACTATGCTTTACTTAATTGTAAGGCACAGTTTGTGGTTTCAAAAGGAATTTTATCAACGCTTGCAAAGTTACTGCAAGCTTACATTGTATTGTAGCTATGACTAACACTAACTGCATTGTTCGTAATCTAACCGTTATACAGTAATTTATAACATTATTTATAATTATCATAAATGGGTAAATACCACTACATATATATATATATATATATATATATATATATATTAAATAATATAAATGCATATATATAATAAAAAACATTAATTTTATAAGAAATATCAGGAATAGCATTCTTAATGCTTTGAGAATCATCACTGGCTATTGTTGTCAGGAAAAATATATTTATTTTTTTTATAAGAAAACTATAAAAAATAATCAATATTTCAGGTCGTTGTCTAACTTATTCATTAATTAAATTTGTTAATCAAAACAAACAAATTTTAGTGTTGAGTATTGACTTATATAAAACTGATGATAAAATCACATAAATATTTTGGTATCATGTTTGTCAGTTTGCTGCAGGAATAATCAAACCTCTATTTCATCTGCACAATTCATTACATCGTTTTTTTTTAAATTTAACTCAAAAATATATTTTATAATTATATTTTATTATTTATGTATTGGTACTAATTCATGTTTTATCATTTTTAGTATGGAGAAATTGAAGAGAAATCTTTTTTACTAGAAATTATATGGGGACCTAATTATCCGACTGAGCCGCCAACTTTCAATTTAGATACATTTTATAATAGAAACATGTAAGTAAAAATTTTACTCTTTTGTCAAATTATAATATTTCAATGTCACAAATGGTTAAAAGATGTTTGTGAACATGTTTTAAAATGATGCACATGCATTTTTTTTTGATAGATCAAATATGTATATTACATGTTTATATACTAAACATACATGTTAAGTATATATACTTGAGTGAATGAGTATGCCTTAGAGAATATTTGAATTACTTGAGAAAGTAATTTTGTAGTATATAGAATGTTTAGAGTTGATCACCAGCTTTCAGCTGAGGCAGAGTGAATTGTTACACATTTGCTTTGACCAGTAAAAATTGTTTGTACGCGCTAAAGGGGAATTCACTTAAATCTTTAAGCTAGTGTTCGCAAACTATCGATACTATCGATGGTTTCAGACTTTTTTCTTTCATAAATACTTTTTTGTGATATGAACATACTTCGCAAAAATTAAATTTGACAAAAAAATTTAAGTACATGAAATTTCAAATCGTGCTAAATGGAATAAAATCGTGTAAAAAAATCAAAAATATTCAATTTTCAAACCGTGTTATATCAAAACCGTGTACAAAAAGACCGTGTAAAAACAGACTTAGGTGTATACCAAATTTGAACTCCCTAGCTTAATATTGGGTCGAGATGTCATTGAAAGAAAATATGCGAAAGTGGTCCTTGTTTCAAAGTTACTTTGTATCACAACTGTAAAAATATCGACAAACAAATAACGCGATATATTATTAATAAGAAATATTGTTAAATAATTTTGGTCTTTTCAACTTTTGAATCTACCACATGGAATAGAATAAAATTTAGGATAGTGCAAAATGATTAAATTATCTTCACCAAATTAATTTAAATACCCTTGAAATGCGTCTCAAAGAATGGCTTGTAGTGTTGAGGAAACATAAAATTAGCAAATCAGATTTCTGGTAAAAACAAAAAAAATCTTCTTTGTGAAGTTTATAATGGAATTAGCGGATCAAAGCGATTTATATGGGATAAATGTAATATATAGAACAGTTTAAGAAAGTCTTTCTAATGAAAGATAAATTGATAGTAGTGATTTTGAAAAGAATTTTCAATGGTGTTTGTCACAAGGTTTTTTATGACTACAATTGAGACTATGGGTCAATTTGATGAGAAAATGATCAAAATTTTAACAGAAGTTCAAATGTAACTTTACTCAACTTTTAAAAGGACGTAGAAGAAATATGCCGGAACAGTCCCGCATTTTCACATTGTGTCCTGAGTTTTACTAAAAGCAATATTTGCCCCAAATTGACCTGGGTTTTCAAAAAGTATAATTCTAAATTGAATCTTTGCTTTTACTAATAAAATTACAACTACCGAACTGCCCATCAAATATCTGAAAATGTTATGTACAACTAGTATGCTTATATGAAAAAGGCGGGATAAAATAGCCTCTCACATTCATAATTTCGAACTTTGATTTTCACTTTTACAAAAATTTACAAAAATTATGAAAGTGAACTTTTTGACCACCATTTTTGATTAATTATAAAGAAAACTGAAGAAAATTTTATAAGTTTGAAAACTGAAAAAACATAGATCCAAAAATATAAGATAAAATAATAACATATAATTGAATAATGAAGTTCTTAATCAGTAATTTTGAATTTTTAAAAATTACTCATTTCCAAGAATATTTGTTTTGTTATTTATATTTTGTTTTTATTTTTGCAAGAAATAATAATGTGGTATTAATTTGGACTTTAAGAATAAAATATTTGGTTTTATTTTAAGTAAAAATAACATACTTTTTAAATTTAATACCGAACCAATTTTCTAGCCATCTTCCTTTAACTCCAATATTTCCATGTAAAGATTGCTTTTGTTTAACGCTGTTTTGCATTGTGCTCTACCTTTATGGAACATCTCTCGCATTCCACGGGGTATTCCTGTATATATATATATATATATATATATATATATATATATATATATATATATATAGGAATAAAAATTACTCATTTAAAAAAGGCGGATTTTTATTGCATTCGTAAGTGGTATTTGCTAGTTTAAAATCATATTAAAGTTTTTATCATACACCCCCAGATTAGTATAACTAAAAATTACCATCCTAGTTTTGACTTGCAAAAATATGGTCGCCTTATGCCTTTTAGACCGAAATGCAATAAATTGGACTGAATAGTTCGAAGGAATTACTTTTGTTTTTAGTAATTTTAATTATGAAATAAATGTTTAACGTAATGAATTAAATGTTAAATGTAAATAGCATGACATATGAATAGAACTAGTGGTGCATGGCATGGTGCTTTAAGGCAAATTGCTGTAACTTTCCGAACCAAAATGTTCAGAAACCTCTAAAACGTGAAGATACGTAAAAATTTTAATTTTCGATTTTTTTGCAATTACTTTAGCTTACTCTACGGGAAGTTAATAGCCAAATAATAATGTATGTGTGTGTGTGGATTATATTGTGAGAGACAATTAGTGACATAGAGAGATGAATATTGTAGAGAGTGCTATCAGAGACTAACGGAGTTAAGTTTTATTTTTATTTAAATTAAACACAGTTATTACACTTAATGCTTATCAATTTTCAATTCATTTTATTTTAACCACAGTATTTACATGTTGAGCAGGGCATTACTGTAAAACAATTTTGCATAAATAACATCAATATATTATTTATATTATATGAACAGTATAGTAGTTCAATGCATTTATCAGACTAATGAAGTTTTAAAATGGAAAAGAATGTTTTATTATGTTTTGTTCAAATTATATTTCTGCAGATTGCAATCAATCAAGAATTCAGTTCTCGAATTGGTGACAGAAGAATCTCAACAATGGCTAGGTTGCGCAATGACTTACACAATATTTGAAGCTCTGAAAGAAAAGATACACGAGTTGCTAGAAAAACAGAGTGAAGCAAATGACCCAAACGAGGTAACGGAAATGGTACAAGAAGTTAAGATTAGTGACAGTCTGGATGATGTTAAGAAGAACGTTGTCAAGAAATCACAACTGACAAAAGCTCAAAAACGAAGGCAGTGGGAAAGGACTGATGGCAAGGGGGAGAAGCCGAGAGGTTGGGATTGGGTTGATATTGTTAAACACTTGTCACAGACTGGATCGAAAGACGATGGAGCTGTTTCATAGTGGTAGAGTTTGTGAACATTGAATGTTAAATTTGTTTTTATTTATCTAATGCAAATTGAATGCAAGTGTGATACTTGATATGTTCTTTTGTGCATTTATGATGATGTACGCACATTAGAATAACATTACCGAATACATATTTTATTTATTTAATATCTATTTGATATATAAATATATCTATCTAGTAATGCAAGAGCATGTTGTCTATTAGAACGTTTGAAGGACTATGGATAGATTTGTTAAAATTTTGTGGATAAATTTCTTATTATAATTAACTTGGTTGTTTGAAATTTTATAATATACAATTTGATGGATGGATTTGTTGCAGAAACTTAACAGAAACATTTCTTAAATCACTTAAATTATGTATCTATTTTTTATAATTGAAATGATTATTAGATTTTTTGTATAAAATTGATGAATAGATTTATTTACAATAATTATACTGATGGATTGTTTTTAATAATAACGAAGTAGTAAATGAATTTCCTGTGACTTTTTTGAGTATGCTACCTAAACCATTAATTGACATACATTTAATTCTCCTAACTATTTTTTTTCATATTCTCAAATATTTCAAAAATAGTAAAAATAGGATTGGAATAATAGTCACACTGAAGAAAAGTTGAGAAATCGTGGGTATCATATAGAAAAAGACAGTTTCGAGAAAAATGTGTTCAAAGTTTTGCGAAGAGGAAATAGAGGAGGATTATTGCAGTCAAACAGTCATATCGCCGAAAATAATTTGAATTATGAAAAATCAATCTTATGCACATATTCTTGAATAATTAATGTTTGAAAACATCTGTAAAAACAAAATCGTTTTTTTTTTTTTTTTAATTTTGGACTAGAATACCCTCATTCTTCATTTTATTGCTCTGGTAGAATATTGGTTAAATATTTTTTTATGATTTTTATGAAAGTGATCAATGGATTTTTTTTGTATAAAACTGACGAATAGATTTTTTATAATAAACTGATGTATGAATTTTTTATAATAATGAAGTAGAAACTTAATTAATAATTAAAGTTAATTAATGATTGGAAACTTGGAATTTTGGAATTTTGTAATTTGTGTGGTTTGGGTTATCTATGCATTACTAAAATTTAGTTGATAATGATGTTGTTTCATGTGATTGGCTGAACTAGTATTTTTTGAAAATCTGAATGTTCACAGTTTTTGTTAATGCATGTTTCTTTTATTATTGGGCCGAAGATAATCAAAGTTTTCTCTATTTCTTAAAACTTCTGTTATTGTTGTTACACTTTCGTGAAATATTTCTTTATTATCAACAAGAAAACATACATAATTATTAAAATTTTTTGATCCAAATTTTTTTTTTCAAAAAATTTTTTTTCCAAAAATTTTTTTTGTCGAATTTTTTTGTCAAAATATTTTTGTCAAAATATTTTTGTCAAAAATTGTTTTCCAAAAAATTTTTTTTTTCGAATTTTTTTTTTCAAATATTGGTCAATATCGGTCTAATATTGGTCAATATCGGTCCAATATTGGTCAATATCGGTCTAATATTGGTCATATTGGTCCAATATTGGTCAATATCGGTCTAATATTGGTCAATATCGGTCTAATATTGGTCAATATCGGTCTAATATTGGTCAATATCGGTCCAATATTGGTCAAAATAGGTGTAATAAAAAAAAAATTTTTGACCAAAATTTTTTTGACCAAAATTTTTTTGACTAAAATTTTTTTTCCAAAAATTTTTTTCCAAAATTTTTTTTTTGACCAAAAATGTTTTTACTAAAATTTTTTTGATCAAAATTTTTTTGACCAAAAACTTTTTTCCCAAAATTTTTTGGACCAAATTTTTTTTCTCAAATTTTTTTTCCGAATATTGGTCAATATCGGTCTAATATTGGTCAATATCGGTCCAATATTGGTCAATATCGGTCTAATATTGGTCATATTGGTCCAATATTGGTCAATATCGGTCTAATATTGGTCAATAACGGTCCAATATTGGTCAATATCGGTCTAATAAAAAAAATTTTTTTGACCAAAATTTTTTTGACCAAAATTTGTTGAACAAAAATTTTTTTGACCAAAAATTTTTTTTCCAATATTTTTTGGACCAAAACTTTTTTTTTCAAAAATTTTTTTTCCGAAATTTTTTTGACCAAAATTTTTTTCCGAATATTGGTCAATATTGGTCTAATATTGGTCAATATCGGTCTAATAAAAAAAATTTTTCTTGACCAAAATTTTTTT